ACTCAAATGATGGTACCCACAGCAAGTTCAAAATCCAAGACCTTACCACGCATGTGCAACAAACACAGCAGTGGAAAAGAATGGTAAGATCCAAAAACCCGGGTCCATATGAAAGGGTTACTATTACAAAAAATAGCCAAAATCTAAATTTATCACAACATGTTTGGCGATATTCGTAGAAATAACCCCTTTTTAACCTCTTCGCAACGGGCGAATCATATATGCATTTCGTACGGACGCATGTGAGGCCCGGGCGGTTCACCCGTGCACTCCTGGAGAACTGGCCAAGTGAACGGGCAGTGCAGATATGCATTTTAAGCTGAAACAATTTTTAATAGCCACTAGATGGCACTCTGTGTCATTACATTAAACTGAACGTAGTTTTAGTATTCTGACCTTCAGATGTTTATATTCTGCTGTTTTGGTATTTTGCTTGCAGCTGTGGCTGGGGTGGGGGAAATCGTAATGTAAACAAACGTAGCTCGGCTCTTTAAATCGCTGCGTGCTAATGAAACATTCTCGATTCTGATTTATCCAATTCCTTTTTTATTCTATTTTTTTTTCCCTCTTTGTACGGGTCTTTGGTTACTGTGCGGAGTTTTTTTACGTTTTTGCATTGCTTCAGATATATTTCCGTTACCTTCTTTTTTTATTAGGAAAGCTCACCTCCAGTCTATTATGAGGGAAGAGGCACTATTTATCAAGAAGCAACCCTAGTAAGTATCATAAGAGTACTGAATTTTCTTTAAAAAGTGATTGAGGATTTCTATCAATTAAAAAATGTTAGAATAATTTGAATAGCTCTCCGAAATATTATGGAAGATAAGCAATTTTTTAAGTATTTTCCATGTAAAATAAAGAAAAAATGTTTTAAGGGCTAATTTTAACATATACAGTCACAACGTAATTCGGTACCCTATCCGAATGTCTAATCCGGACCTCAAGCTAAAAACTTCTGGCATGCCGCGTTGACACATGCGCTTAGGGTTTAAGGTGCTGTAAGACCTTTAAACAGCGCATAGGCGTGTGCAAAGCGCAGAATACGTTTTCGAGTGCACGTTATGTATACGGACGGATAAGCTAAAATTATCTAATTATCTATTTCAATTAATTTGATGATGCATTGTTCCTAATTTCGAATTGGTTCGGATTATATTTTTTTGCAGCTGTAAGAGCAATTTTATAAAGTAAATTGAAGCTTTAGATTATTCAAATGATTGCCGATGCTGGACTCCAAGGATCTACAAACAAAGTATGTTCGATGTCCATCAAACAAAAGTGAATTGCTTGCAAAAAATGGATAAGACATGAAGAGTGACAGAGAGTTAGAAACGAAAAAATTCATGACAATAGTCTGTATTTCGCATAGCAATAACGGGACTTGAACGAGGAACTTGTACTGACAAGAATTATGTTGTGTAAATTAAAGAGAAGTATTCTCACATAATACAGCAACTTAAACAACTTACATTGAACGAATGTTTAATACAGTAAACAAATAATATTAAGCTTTTTTTTTTTTTTTTTTTTTTTTTTTTGTAAATTTTGATACCCTTTAGATCATAATTTTTCTTTATTCAGAAATACGGTTTCATATTTTTAATTTTAGAATTTCTGCATGCCATCTTACAGATTTAAACTGATGATCTATAATCCGGAAAATCGATAACCGAATCGCCGAAGTCGCGAGTCCGGTTAACTCTTTTGACTGTTAGAGCTCAAGTAATAATCTAAAATGATACAAAATTCGATGCGACGCGAAACTTGTTTCTGATTTTTGTTATAATTAAACGTAACGATGCAAACCTCGTCCTGTACGGTGACTGCCTTCGATTCTCTTCCGCCCCGCACGAGCGTTTTAAACAAAGGTGCGCCGTCGCGAAAAGGTTAATGACAGAAACTAAAAAAAAAAATTCTCTAAGGCTAGTTTCGCCAACATTAGGGTTACAAAAAAAACCTATTTCACACAACGGGCTTCCAGATTTCACGAATAGCTAATACCACTTAGGGATTTTTTCAGCCAAAACCAAGGGGGACTATACAGTAAAGATCAGCTTAGATATTTTTTAAGCCTCAATTTTATGTTCTTAGATATATATGTTACAATTCATAAAAAAATTTACCATAATTTAAGTTTTTAGCCCAAATTACCATAATTTAAGTTTTTAGCCAGAAGGGCTATTAATTTCGTTTTTGCACTTTTTAAATTGTTGCCACCAAATATTAGAGCCCTGTATTATATTTAAAGAAATTAAATAAGAATCGCATAAATGTAGATGTTTCTGCACTGCTATAAAACAATTGACTAGAGCTTTTAACGTACCTCTCCATCTGAAAGCTCGAATTTGGAATTTGCTTTATCATCTGTTTCAAATTTTATAAAGCACTTATGAGTTTTTGAACAAGATACTCAACAATTTCCAAGCAAGGAATGGCAACACTGTACCAAAAAAAAAAAATTCAACTCCAGCGTGGAAAATTGTGTATTGGAAATTCTAAAGATATGCTCTTTTAAATATTTTGTGATATTGCCGTTGAATTGAATTTTATGGTTTAAGCGCAAAAAACATGATATTTAATAAATAAAGGTAACATACAAAATGTTAAAAAAAATCACCTTTTTGAGCTTTTTTATATATTGTTCCTTAAGGGGTTAATGCAATCACAATGCTTCACAGCTATTTTAATATTATCCCATTACAAGATAAGGAATAATATCTTTCAAAATACCATAGAATTCAACTAATTTAACATAAATATAACTAGAAGCATACAAAGAGCCACCACTGCAATATTTTAATTAGAAAAGTGGAAAAAATTATTTATGAGCTGTTCAGGTTATGTCACATGGAAGTTCATTATTATTCTTAACATTTCTATAAACTATGTGACCAATGATATATACCCAATCTTAATATTCAAATGGCATCCTTCACTCACTGGAAGAGAACACGCAAATGTAAACCTGCCTTCTAGTAATAGTGGATTATTTTCAAAGATTTCAAATCCTACCACATATTAATACCTAGTGTGTATTAAAGGGCATGACATAGTCAGCTGAATACCGCCAACAAAATAGTAACAGATTAGAACAATTACCTACGGGCAGTTTGTACACATAGCGATCTAAATAAAGCTTCCAGTAAAATCAACAAACCTAACAAAATAATAGAAAACAACTAAAGCTTTTTTACACAGTGACAATGATGGTAGCCAACTTTGATGGTCAGAAGGATAATATTTAAGTACCGTAATATATTTTCATATACAAACGAGGAGACTTCTGCAATTCGATAACATATGTGAATGGTAGCATTAACTGTGATCAAACTAAGTGGTGTCTTCAGCATTTCAAATGAAAATTCTCAAAAATCACTCAGAAAAATTGCATTATTACAACAAGAATATGAAGAAACATTTAAAGATTTCAATGATTGGGAATCTGATTTTACACTGTTGTCAAAAATGAACAACACCTTAAGAAAGTCTACAAATGTAACTAATTAATTTACACTGCAAATAAATCTTATTCAAAGATTTGAAGATACAGATATGATTACCATACATAAGACGAGAATTTTTGAACTTTATCTAAAGCTAAATTATGGGGGTTGCTTACATATGGATCTGCTTTTCTCGCAAAAAAACAAAGGTACATTTCCCTTAGTTGGATTTAAATAATAATCCATAGTTTTTATAAATAAAAAATTCTGAGCATGCAATGAGCTTCTCTGGGAATATATTTGGGTTAATAGCAATGGAAATACAGCCTAATACAGCAATTTCTTATTCGAGGAATAAACTCATTTTAAAATTTATTTACATCTAATATCTTACGAGATCTTCACACTCGTACAGCCTTAATAATTTGTAGAATGATTAGTCCTCTTATTCCCGGCAGTCCAAGATATAATGCAGTTGCGGCTTCCATCTGTCTACAGGACATAATTGTGGTCTATGCCGTCCTATATCTATTTTCATGATTTTCCCTGTCGCCTAGGTCTTACTCATTCCTCAAAACATTCAATGACGCAAATAAAAAAAATTCGGTATGCGGCACTGTACAATTTTATGTAAAATGCAGAATCCCCCACTTATATGGAGCGTATCGATGTTATACATGGACCAACGCCAAGTTTGTGCAATTCTCTGATGTTTTTTTTAAGTGAAAATAGATCGATGTGTACACGGATACCGAGTTTGTACAATTCTTTGAGTTGTTATTTTCAAGTTGATGCAGAATCGCCCACTTATATGCCGCATGATTTTGGGAAACACGCGAATGGGTGATTCTGCACTTTCCTAAATTTCAGTCTGATGATCCGGCATCGCTGCAGTCTAAAACATGTCGAAGAACTTTTGTAAAGCAATGTAAAGATCTTGCACTGAGATTATTCCAAACATTTCACGTCTACAAAGTATTCTTTTCGAACGAACAGACAAAATATATACCATGCATTTCACTTCACAAATAAAATTACATAAATAATATAGATAAATTCACTACATTACACTTTGATATTTTATATTAGTAAACATATATACCATCTCGACCAGTTCCCATCAACTGATCCAGCATAGCACGCATCTGCTCATGAGCGGACATCGTGTTTTGTTTTCAATATTAAAATTGAAGAAGAAACTAAAATTTTGACTTTTTTCCTAGCTTTTCATGAACCAAAGTAAAAATAATATAAAGATTTACATTATTAAAATCTCACACAAAGTACAATGGCGTCTCGAAACGGAAATTGCGTACTGGTTAGAGTTATTGTGCTATTGAAGTACGAAAAAAACTGAAATGCAAAAAATTATTGTATTATTAAAGACTAGTAATTTAAAAACTAGCAAAAGTTTTAACCATGAAAGTACGTGATTATATTCAACTGAGATTGTGCTCAGCATATAACTAATTGTGCAAGAGTTTTTAATTTATTTTTGAATTTGTTCATGAAATACAAATTACTCATTCAGAAAATGGCAACAAAAAAGAACTTTATTCCGAAATATGATTTGTGTTCTATCTTTTATTTACGCTATTTTTCTACGTATGCGATGAGGGGGTAAAGGTTGTTAGAAGCAAAAAATTTTCTGTTTTACCATTATCCATCAAGAATTATTTAATTAGTAACAAATTATTTATTGCATTGGAATGTGAAAGATTTTGGAATTCAGTTTCTAGTTCTGTCAATTAAAATAAAATTAATCACGTGGAAAGCTTGTGGCAGAGTACATTTTATCTCATCTGATAAAGGCAAGACATTGAGAGATACACAAATAAAAGCCATTTGAGCCTATTCCAGTCATGAATATTCCGGGTTCTACAGATATTATTATTCTTGCCGGTAACTCTCATCCTGATTTGGCTCAAAAAATTGCCAGGTAAGGGGAATTAAAAAAAAAAAAAAAAATTAGTGATGTTTATTATCTGATTAGTGATATTAAACATATTTTTGAAATAATAGAGGACAAGTATGGTCATATGTGTTGGAAAGCCTTTATTAGGCTTAGTTCCATCGTAATTAATATGTTTTTATAGTTAAGAATTAGGGGGGGAAAATCTTAAATTTATTTTGTACTGTAGGATATATTACATTATTATTGTATAATTTCCGAATAATGTTGTGTTTTATTTGCTTTGAATTTTCTGTGTTGTTTTCTAAGCTTTTTAGGTATTAAAAAATCAGAAATAACTTAAGAGAAATGAAGTGCATTTAAAAAGATTAATTATTTTTCATGATGGCATGAAAATATGTTAATTATATAATCTGTGATAGTATTTATGTATAAGTAAAAGGAATGAAACAGTATGAGTGCTATTGTGATTATACCTGAACTATTTACAAATTGTATGATAAAATATAACCATATGGGCTCTCAGTATCTTCAGTTCATTCATGTCAAAGGTATTAAAACACTTTTCCTCTGTTATTGTGAATTACGTTTTATATGGTTAATGCCACAAACACTTGATAATTATTTTTAAGCTGATTATTCTGGAACAACATTTTATTTATTTGTTTATTTTTTAAATATCTTTATTTATTTGCTATTCTGTTGTTTATATTCAATTCTGTCATTTTACAGTCGGCTTGGTATCCGAGTTGGGAACTGTTCAGTAATCCATGCTGCCAACAGAGGTAAGACAAAACAAATCTTCATATTATTTTTTAACTTGTTTTAAAGGCATATTAAAGATCTAAGACTGATGCATTGATTAAATACTGTTACTTTCTCATTTTCTATGACCTCAATAAAAAGTCAGGAGCTCATTGGTAACTTAGGGCCACATTTGTGAACTGATTGCTAATTTTCGAGGAAAACTTTTATTTAGCTATCTTTACATCTATTTCAATGATGCATCGAATATCACTTATATTTTTACATTTTTTTACCCATTCAAGACATACAAATTTTTGCATTGTTGTTCTTCCCAAGTACAAAGTGATCTACTTCTACTAAAAAGGAGAGGTGAGAAAATTATCAATTTTGGATCCAAAATCTTAAAATGAGATTAGGTGGGGAAAGTAGTACATGATGCCTTTAAGCGGACCACATTACCCTATATATGCATGCAGAAAGCAAAATCTAAGATGATTTAGATGAACAGGACAAAAACTGCAGTATGTGGCTGAAATTCTCATAGGAAGGATCATAATCTACAGTCACACTAGCGAAAACATCCCTAGAAGTAGATAGCCATTTTGGGAATTTCCTCTTTCTATCCTAAAAATAGTAACCTTTTAATATGTCAGTCTAAACTGTGTTGTTTGAAATTATTAAATTTCTATCTTATCAGCAAGCAAGATTTCAGTCGAAATCAAAACATTTTGATATTCTTCCAGGCTTTCTTCTGAATGCAGTGCAGTTTGCTGCTTGCTTTCCTTGAACTAATACGTAATAGCTCACTTCTCTCCAGCGTCAATTGTCTTAAGGTATTTTAAATTTCCTAAAATGAGGGGTGCACATTGTGCCCATAATGATGTGTGAATCAGAATATGCATCTGAAGACTTAATTGTCCAGAAGTAAAGTTATTAAATCTATAGCTTCATTTGTCTGCACATTTCATCATTCTGCATGACAGCACCATCTGCAATTATTGGCCATAATTTAAAGTTATTTATTCTTTCGATCCTGCATCCTAAATTATTACATATATATGAAAAGAAGTATATTTAGGATTTGTTTCAAGTACACAAAATTAATAAAAGAAAATTATATTTTAAAGAGACAAATATGCTTATTTTTTCTGCATAACAAAGTAAACCTAGGTGCAGTCTTTGACATTGCTTTACATAAAGCAGCTTCTTAACCATTTCTAGCATTGAACAGTATAAGGATTTAATAAGTGTTGAAGCTGAAAAAGTTGTTTCACATAAGCATGTGGTGCTCAATGACAGAAGGAAATGTATTGCCATTTTAAAAATTGTGGCAAATTTCTAGCTCTGATTGTTCATCTGAAATTTTAAGGGTAAACTTACATAATTGTGATGTAACTGCCGTTTGAGCATAATTTCTGTTAAGAAGTTTCAACTGCTGAAATGGGTGAAAAAATAGGTGAGGTTTAGCTATGGTTCATTAGTTTTGCTTTCTTTGTATTTTTTCATTGTGTTTTCTTGTATTCCTGAAATTTATTTTGTATACTGTACTTAATGCTTAAAAAATTTATATGTTTCAAAAATTATTATTGATTTTTAAGAGATATTTAATAATTTTTGCATATTTTTCCTTTATATTTCTATGATTTCTTCCTTACTGCATGATATAGCTTTATATCAATAAGCAATTAATTAGCAACTTTATTAATAAATATTTGGTAATCAATGAGATCTTGATTATGCCGATAACATATTTGGCTACCAACTCCCTTTAAATTTTATCAATCCCCAGACAGTCTGTAGTCTATTAGGAATCCTGTTAAAAATAATTAAGTTCATTTCAGTACTGTTCTGGGTTAGAGTTGACTTTAGGGTACCCCTTGTATTATCACAAAGCTGTTGCTTCATTTATTGCCAAGTTGTTGTCTCAAATATGACAACCTGCATAGTTGAATGCTATGGAAACCCTATTATGACATTCGTTACGGTGAATTTGAATCATGGGAAAACATTTGGAAAGTGTGTGTTGGATTTTTGGTAAGGGCTTGTGTGTATTGGATAAGTGTGTTGTTATTTTGTGGTTTACATGTTAAATTGGCTGAATATGGTAAGATTAATTTAAAGTTTCTGTAGGATTAGGAACGAAAGGGAAAAAAAGCATTAATTGACTGGTGTGTAAATGAAGGTTTACTTAGTAGCAATTATTAAGTGTCCTGTTTGGAGGAAGGAAATGCGTATGGTCGAACATCGGATATTTTTTACTCTTATTTTTGTGAATTTATGTGGCGACACCAGTATACAGATTCCAGTCCAGATAGTTTTAGGAAGTGTTTGGATGCTGTTAAAGAATTTTGTTTGACTGAAGACTCATAAATCCGTAAATAATGTAAGCGGATATTTCCTTCGTGTAGTGGTAACATGAATTTCCTTTTTTATGTTATTTCATTGTTTGAATTAAAATGTTGTTTATTCAGATTATATAACTTTTCTTGGCAGCTAGTTTGACTTTTTAAGTGAATATAGTTTGATATGTACATGAGCAAAATCAAGGGAGTGCGCAAAGCCTAGTTTGTGCAATTCTCTGATTTTTTTTTTTTTTTTTTTTTTTTTTTTTTTTTTTGTCAAGTGAAAATAGGTCGATGTGTACTTGGATAAAGTCAAGGAAATGTAAAATGCCATTTTTGTGCAGTTCTGGGATTTTTTTTTAAGTGAAAATAGGTCGATGTGTACATGGATGTCGAGTTTATGCAATTCTTTGTCTTGTTATTATGGCTTGCAAAAATCGCCGCTACGCAAGCCAAAATAACAAGTCAAAGAATTGCACAAACTCTGTATCCATGTAAAGCCAAGTTTCGCCAAGGGGTACCCTAAAATATACTTTTACCCTTTTCTGTTATCGGGCCTAGATACTGATATTACCAAAAGTAGACAATCTGACAAGAAATTGAAAGCATAAAAATAATCGCCTAAATATTTACAGTGGTTAAGTTGAAGAAAAATCCAAAGGAAAAAATAACATAGTAGATATTTGAAAAATTGGAAATTTTTAATATAAATTAAACAGCTTGCCCCCAAAAAATTGGCTACAGAGTTAAGATAAAGGCAGAGGCATGAAACTGTGGATATAATCATGAATGTCTGAAAACATCTGCATTTTAAGATGCTTCTGCTACCACATAATTAAATAAGAATCTAATTGGTTACAGTCAGTGCCACATTGAAGTTTATTTCATTATTTTGTAGTGTCCCGTAGCCTTTCAATAGTTTGCATATGATTGGGATTGATAAAGTTATATTTACGGTTAATGCAAAAATGTTCAAATATGGTCTCATTTTATTCTTTAATGTTTTATACCCTTACACCTGAGTATATTACTAAGTTCTGGCAGAGTGTTTAGGCACAGCAACTAAAAAACAACCTTTTTTCCCTCAGCAAATCCCGCTGCATACCCACTATGGCGGAAGTGAAATGACCAACGTTGTTTTCTTCAATGTGGAAACAGATTTTTGTCAGCTTTGACAATATTATCAATGTCACATATTTTAATTGACAGTCTAGACCACAGTTGAAATAGCCTGCCACATTCTTCCCATAACTGTTTCAGTCAGCAACAGAGCAATTATTCATATCAAGTTGATACTGTCAAAATTCAAGGGAAGTTAATTGTAGACACTATGCATAAATGAAACAAATTGCTATTAAGAAACTGATTCTCAATCCTTCAAACCAGTTTTGAGAACATAACCCTTTTTTTCCTCAGTATATCATATCTTCACGTCTTTATTCCGGTGCTTCCTTTGAATTGATGTAGATCTTCATTTTATGGTTTTTGATTCATTTTCTTTCAAAGTAAATTCTTCCTCATTGCTGAAGAAATTGTCTGGAAAATATTTCATCATTAGGTAAGTCCCAAATTTTCATATCCTTGGTAAGCACAGTAATATTAAAAGCATAATTAACTGTTGCATCTTTAGAATTTGTGTTCTCGGTACCAATTTAGAAAAGGCATTCTTTTACTTTTTTTTAAAGTAAACATTGTAACAATTTTAAAAGTAAGCATTGATGTCTTCGTATGAAGCTCTTAGCGAGTGAAACATTTGGTGATGACTGTAGTCCTGATAACAGATCAGTATCTTCATTTCACTATGACACAGTGAAAATACAGTCAAAAGTCATTAATCCAGACTCGTCGGGACTTCAGCGATTCCGGATCATCGATTTTTCCGGATTATAGATCATCAGTTTAAATTTCGTTAGATGGCATGCAGAAATTCTAAAATTAAAAATATGAAACCATAATTTATGAAATAAAGAACAATTATGATCTAAAGGGTATCAAAATTTACAAAAAAAAAGCTTAATATTTATTTGTTTACTTTATTAAACATTCTTTCAATGTAAGTTGTTTAAGTTGCTTCGTTTTATGTGATAATACTTCTCTTTAATTCTATAAACAGACATAATTTCTTGTTCAGTTACAAAGTTCCGTTGTTCAAGTCCCGTAATTGCTGTGCCGAGAATACCGACTAATTTGTCAATCGAAATTTTTTCGTTTTCACTAACCTCTCTGTCACCATCTTCATGTCTTTATCCATTTTTTGCAGCAATTCCACTTTTTGTTTAACGGACATCGAAACATACTTTCGTTTTGTAGATCCATTGGGAGCTCCAGCATCGGAAATTCTATTTGACATAATCGAAAGTTCAAGTTTACTTTTATAAAATTGCTCTTACAGTCTGCAAAAAATAATAAGCCGCATCCAATTCGAAGATTAAGGAACAACGCAATCATCAACATTAACTGAAATAGATAATTAGATAATTTTAGCTTATACCGTCCATTATACATTAAACGCACACGCGTAAACGCCTATGCACATGTGTCAATGCGGCGCATGCGCAGAAAGTTTTTAGCTTCGAGGTCCGGATTATGGGTGTCCGAATTAACGACTTTTGACTGTACTCATTTCATCTGAAACTAACTGAACATATATATTTCAGAAACCTTGGTTGATATTGGTGAGTCAGTTCGCGGAAGAGATGTTTATATTCTTCAGACTGGTACTAAGTGAGTACAGTTTCTTTTACTTCTCACAATTAGTTGATTTTGCATATATTTCCATGTATTTTATATTAAAACTGTAGGTATTTATGCAGTATTATATTTGCATAATGCTGCTTTAATAATTTGAAATTATTATTTAATATTTACATATCATCCTGTCAATCATGAAACTGTTGTCAGAAAGTGCAATTTAGCTTTGGTTCATCATGACATGCTGGATATGGCCAACAAAACAGTAGTAGACTGGAACAGTTATCTGTTGGAACTTTGTTCTTGTAACGTTCTAAAGAGAGCATCTGGTAAAATTAGAAGACCTAACAAAATAGTAGAAATCGACGAGGGCCTATTTACGAAGTGCAAAAAAGAAGTCAGTTGAATACATCAGCAACAGTAGCTGTTTGGTGGATTGTGTGGAGAGAGTGCTGAATGTTTTATTTTTAGAGTTGCAGATAGAAGTGCAGTTCGGAATTCCATAGGAACGATTTGCATAATTTTAATGGAATCTCCAGCAACATTCGTGGTTCATTCAATGGTGGCCAATTTTCACTGTTGTTGGAGTAACACTGCATGTACCTATTATTTTATTAATTAATAAATTAAAGTTAGGAAAAATCACCCCTTTTGCAAACTCTAGAAATGGAGAATATAAGAAAAGGAAGCAGGTTTGCCTTAAATGTGTTTTTCTTCAGACTACCTCAGATTCCTGCATGTTGCTTTTAAACATGCATGTTGCTTTTAAACACCTGCTAGCTGAGGACTTATAAAGGCCAATAAGAGTGCATTGATTGACTTGTGTTCATGCTGGCCAAGATTGCATTTATGACTGTTGAATGGTTGTATATATGGGGAGGGATCAGGGCTAGGGCTACATGCTTTGCCACCTCGTGTAATCTGTGTGGGTCCTAAATTTTGCTGTTTGTACGTCCCTAAATTCAAAAACTTTTGCTGTCCCTTAACTCTATTACCCAGTGCCTCTTCTGCGATCTCCAATTTTTGCCGCTTGTTGCTTCTCTAAATTCTAAAAACTTTGCCACTAATTCTGACACTGATACTGATGTGGTGGTGCCAGTTTTACCTGCTCTGGCTTCAGTCCTGTGGGATGTTAGCATTCATCTACCTGATGTAAACAATAAGTGAAGCCTCCATGTTACCATATCTACATGTCATTTTACTAGATTCAAATTGATTACTTAAAATTCAGAAATTTACTGAAATCGACGATTTTGGATCTTGGACTTTGTATTGCTTAAACACTTTATTTTATTATATTTTATTTTTTAATAATTTCAAATGCATACATTCGTAATTCTTTTAGTTTTAGAAAGATTTGTTTCGAAAGATTGATGATTTATTAACTGTAACTGTGCTTTGTATGATTGTAAATTCCAATCAGATTCATACTGTTGTAACTATGGCTGTTTTATATCTAAGTTACACTGACATTTTACAGGAGACATAAAAAGTTTAAATTCTTTGGATGTCCATCAGGTAATCAAGATAAGGATTAGTTAAGTTGTTACATATCCATACAAAATAATTCCTTCTTTCTCAATTAGTAAAATTTAAATGCATAAATTAGTATCGAGAGTTTCCTTAAGCATGTTAAATCAACAGAGAAATGCTATAAAGGATTCCCAACCCTTTTGTTGCAAGGACCCCTTTTTTAAAAAATAGCTTTTTCAACCACCTTACATATTGGAGGGGGGTACTCTTCTGTTATCAGGACTGGATTCAACTTCATTGTTGTGTGTATATACACATGTACATGTGTGCATACATATACACTTGCATACATGAACACATAGATCCATAAATACATGCATACATTTCTGAATCCGTGCATACATACATTTCTGAATCCACTCCTGATAACAGAATTTTACCCATTTATTTCTATAGTATACAACATAATCATAATGAGAATAATTGCATCTAAATAGCTGAAAGATAATAATTAGATAAGAATATGAACTAAAGTTTTGAAAAAAATGCTTTATCGAATTTGTTAAATTATTGTTTGTGTAGTTATTATTTTTAATTTTACAAATATAAAAATGTTTTCAGAATGGATTCTAATGACACAAAAGTTTAATCTTGTAAATATGATCTGCTGATATTGCAAACATATTTATCTCCAAAAAGTTCCGGTGCATTGTTTGTCAGACGTCGAAAATGTATTTCTGTACTCTCACCACTAGTGACCTGCCACGTGTAATTCATCTTCAAAACTAAACAAGCTGATAACATTGCCGAAAGCACAAAAAACAGAAGTACATAAATGAATACAGAGAAATTATACACCATTACTTTAATTTCATTACAAGATTATTATATTAAACTATACATTATTTCTTTTATATCCCATACAGTTTTTTAAGTTGACCCCACAAACAATCTGTTTTCAAGTATTGGCACCATTATCAGGATCACCAAAATTCATCTAATGATTTACCATTAGGTGGTTGTACTATGTTGGTCTAGTGTACTAAAAATTTGCCACTCGTAAAAAACATCAATTACAGGATAGTTTACCTGTTGTTATAAGTAGGTCCTAATAGGTCACCGATTGCGAGAGTATCCATATTTCATTACTGAAAGCCTTCTCTAAATTCTTCATAGGGTGTTGAAACATATTTTGTCAGCAAAAGGTCCCAATAGAGGTGGGATGTTGAAACATATTTCATTACCTGAAGGCCCCAATAAATTGTTGATGGAATGTCGAAAACAAAGATACCAACAGAGCATAAAGGTCGAGTATAAACATTTTGGGACTATGAAAGCAATTATCAAAAGGCATCAAGAGAATGTTAGTGGGATATCGAAAATGTATTTTGTTACCTAAAGATAGATTACTGGTGGTGGGTGCCTACAAATACTCAAGTTTCAAGAAAGGTTTGCTTTTGTTAACTAATATTATTTAACCTGTATTTTCAGATCTAAAGCAATTTTCTGCTCTTTAGGGACGTGAATAACAATATCATGGAATTATTGATAATGGCTTATGCTTGCAAAACGTCCTGTGCCAGGAAGATAGTCGGAGTGATACCTTACTTGCCGTACAGTAAGCAGAGCAAGATGAGGAAACGTGGCTGCATTGTTTCCAAACTGTTGGCCAAAATGATGTGTAATGCTGGTAAATAAGAAATAATTTATTAAGTAATGATGTTGTATGAATACCTTTCTCATCTGTTATTGAACTGACAAACTCATTTAAAAGTTGTAGCTTCTAACTCTTTTAGACTTATCAGCAGATTCCCAATTTTTCATCAGGTCTGCCTCGCTAGATCACCTAATCTCCCTCTTTTAAATTTTTAGCCTTTGCTAAAAAAAATGTTTGGAACTTAAATTAGGTAAATTTCATTCCCCCACCTTTAATGATATTCAAAATAATTTTTCTTATTAAATTTTATTGTGTCTGTTTTTATTATTATTAAACTTTATTTGATCTCGATTGTATTGTATCTACTGTAGACATCTGTAGATTTTTATATTAAGATTTCAGCAAAGTTGAATTAGTTAATAATTGCATTTATTTATGTTTTATATTAATAAATGGTACATGATCAAAATTATCCATGCAAATATTAATTTTATTTTCATTGTACTTGAGAGTAATTTAAGTAGATCATCTTTTCTAAAAATTGTTTTGATTGCATCCTAATTGACTTAATTACTGCAAATGGTCTTAGGGTATAAAATTTAACTATCTTTTGTAGAAATTCTATGTAGTTGTATGGCCAGTATTGAAAGAAACAATCAATCTGATAAGAAATGGCTGCGACTTGTTTTGCTGGCGCAAATCTCACCAAGCAGACTTTGTTGGCGACAGTGTACAGTATACACATAAAAAATTTTAGCTCTAAGAATTTTTTATTTTTAAGGCATAAACATATTCATATGATTTAAAATATTGTAAAAATTCGATAAATAAAGACTAAATTTGTAAAAAGACATTATTTTAAGAATTTACTATGCTTTCATGATTCAACATCCTTATTCGCCAGTTCGTATCACGTGACCCAAAGTGATCTCGTCTCATGTAAACTGCGCTACAAAAATATAATTCTCTCAGTAATTATCTACATTAATTTCAAGTTTAAATCTTAATTTGGAATACAAAATGCAAGAATTATTTCAATTCGTACTCAGAAATTATGTAAAACCGCAGTGCTTTACTTCACTAGTGCATTCTCATTAGAATTGATGAATTTAACCCCTTAATTTTGCCTTTCCTATATTTTCGGGTGAGCGGTGTGATTGCATCCTAATTGACTTAATTACCGCAAATGGTCTTAGGGTATAAAATTTAACTATCTTTTGTAAAAATTTTATGTAGTTGTATGGCCAGTATTGAAAGAAACAATCTGATAAGAAATGGCTTCACCTTGTTTTGAAAATGAAGCATAAAAGATTACCAGCGAAAATATTCTGTTTGGCATCAGTTGTGCCATTATTGATGACTTTATCATTTGCGCCTGCAAAACGGATAAGTACCATTTTTTTAAAAATTATTATTATTCAACATGTTTTTGATAAAAAAAATGGTTAATTTGACAAGTTCTGAAATTGAACTTGCATATGTATTCAAACACTTTGAGCAAACAGTTTCCATTTAATAAAAATATAAAAATAGTGGAACTTTATTTTGTGGGAAGTCTATTAACTAAAATGACACTTATCTTTTACTCATTCTGACATGGATTTAAATCATTTTTTCATGAAAATATTCCATTTTGTTCAATTTTTTCGTAAGAATTGCTTTTAGTAGAGTTTGCAAGGAAGTGTCAAATTTCCTTATTCTTTTCTCCAGCTTACTCCAGACATGTTCTATAGGATTTAAGTCTGCAGAATATAAAGGGATACTATTCCGTTTTGAGGGCCATAAAAAAATTGCAGCGAAAATGTATGCGCAAAAACGCCAAATCTAGCAAATGCACCCATTTAACAGCGTGCCAAATCTAGCGTATGCACTGATTTCAGATTGCATAAGTTTACATAGTTATATTTCTTAGACGCCATTGAATACTAGTTTAATTCTTAAATCCTTTTTTATTGTCCTGTGGATTTAACAATTTGGAATTGCCCATGACGAAAAGCGTGCGATAGAATTTTGGGTAAAGTGCAGAATCACCCACTGCTTGACGCGTTTTTAAGAATTGCACATACTCGGTATCCATGTACACATGACTTATTTTTTAAAAAAAAATCCCAGAATTGCACAAAATTCACTGCTCACACTCTTACATTATCTATGTACACATTGACCTATTGTCACTTAAAAAGTAAAAGAAATTGACAAAAATCCAATTGTTTTTGACCTTGTAAAAAGCGGAAACAAATAAGGGGCGATTCTGCACTTTTCCGAGAATTTTTCATAGAAAAGGCATCATCATATAGAAAATTTTTTTAAACAACCACAGATGAAATTATGCTTTAGCGAAATAGCGATGCAGCATCCATTCAGTTGTTACAATTTTATATAAATCAAGGCCAACTTAACCAAGGCCTGCCATGTGAAAATATCTTTGTGTTTCGGTTGCCTGCATGATATTCCTACTGACTAAGATGGTGGCTACAATTCTGCTACACTTTGCGATGTTTACAAAATATGGAAAGTACCAAAAACGAATTCTGTCTTGTTAATGAAAGTTTAAAAAGATTAATCAATAGGGTCAGAAATTTGATTTCTTATTAAAAAATTTTTAATTAGAAGGAAAGCATGGATTTTAAGCTATCTCACCTTTTTTATTTTTCACACAAAACAACAGCTATTTTGATCTCGATTTTAATTCCTGCTTTCATCTAGGACATGCGCTATTCTGAATTGATGCATTACAACATTATTCTAATTTAAAGGTAATTCAAATATACACCTTATTTTTAATTATTTTGTAGTAAGAAGTTAAATATAGCTTCAGATCATGTCTATTTCAGTGAAAATTTCAATATTATTGGGCTGTACTGAGCCCAAAAAATAATTTAGTATCCCCTATCAGATATAATTAACATTAAACCATGATCTAAAATTTGTATATCTGTTTTCTACGGCATTGGAGTAAAAATATTACTTAAGAGATTAAATTTTTACATACTGAAGAATTTTTTTAATATTAAATAATTGTTTTAGGAAATCTTAAACAATAAAAGTTTAAATAATGCAGATTTTGATTTTTGTGCAGTATTTGCATTGCAGATATTCAGGCATTCTAAATTATTAGGCAAAAAAAAAAAAAAAAAGTCTACTGTGGCATAGATTTTAATGACACTCAAACTCAAAGTTGCTTTTGACTAATCTTTAATATTACACAGGTGTGTTCTTCTTCACTTTCATTTGTATCTAATTTCATTGATGTAGCATTAGAAAAGTAGTTGAATTAAGTGATTGCAGCAATACTTTTCAGTGTTAGAGAAACTTCATTTTTTTCAAATGAAATAATGAAATTTTTGATTGATAATCAAATCTGTTTGTTATAAATAAAAGAGACAAAGACATCATAAAATCATACTTGCCAACTTTTATGAATTTTTCATAATATTTACGAAAATGCGTTTGTCTTTACGATTTTATGATCACAATCCATTTTTTACGATTTTTTTCCTTTTTCAAGTGTTTTTAGTGATTTTTGTCAAAATTTTAGAATTTGTCGCCAATTCAGCGATTTTCGGCAATTGCATCGTGTTTCACCGCCAACTACCGATTACTTCGAATCCAGTAAACCTGCAGTTTCTCCCACTCTTTTCTTTGTGGGCGG